AGCAGACACAAGGTCTTTATGTCTCTTTCTCTCTGTAAATCTACCTTTCCAATAAAAATAAATTTTTAGGAAAAAAATCTGAATAAAGATTTGTGTTTCCACCTCACAGGAAATGGAACTGTATTGTTTGATTAAACCTGAGAAATTCGCAGCACACAGAGCAGGGCAGAGGTGAGACATTATACTGAAAACGAGGATTAAGTAAAAATTGCTGCACTAAATAGTAGTTTATCAAATTGCTTTTTCCTATTTGATTCGAGACTGTTTTCCATGCTTTAGATTTCCTAGGGATGCTTGCGGCGTCCTTTCTAGAGAAATTGAACCATTCCAGAAAGCCTGCTTAACAGAGCCTAGTATTTGAAACACACACACACACCCAGAGTTACCACGTATCCACCAGTTGACAAGCCCGAGTCAGACAGGCTGAGCTTTGTCGTCAGCTTTATTGTTAACTTTCTAAATATGAACCAGTTGCCAGGTGCTTGTAGCCATCTTAGGAAAGCTTCCAATGTGAAAGACATGAAGCAGAGAAAAGGAGACTTACAAGGAAGGAGATAAACACCTAAGTGACATGAGAATTGACAACTGCAGGCAGATATTGCCTAATGAAATAAAACAGGGTATGTTAAGACAAAGTTGGATCTGACACTGTGATGTTGTGCAGAAAAGCTTTGTCTGCAGTGCCAGCATCTCATGTGGATGCTGTGTTAAGTCCCGGTTGCTACACTCTTGACCCAGCAATCTGCTGATATCTTTGGGAAAACAGCAGCAGATGGCCCAAGTCCTTGGACCTGCCACCCCCCATGAGAGACATGGATGAAGCTCCTGGCTCCTGACTGGACCAGCCCAGCTCCAAGCATTGCGGCCATTTGGGGAAAGAACCAGCAGATAGGAAATCAGTCTCTCTCTCTCTCTTTGAAACTCTTTCATTTTTTATTCTTTTTTTTTTTTTCTGTTTTAAGGTATAGAAAAGTGTTGGGATGTGGTATTGTGATGCAACAGTTTAGTTAGTGGCTGTTAGGAACATTCATAGCCCACATCATATCCCAGCTTCATGTCTGGCTACTCTGCTTCCAATCCAGTATTTTGCTAGTTCGCATCGTGGGAGACAGCAGTTGATGGCATACGTGCTTGTATCCTTGCCACCTGTCTGAGAGACCCAGATGGACTTCCCGACTCCTGCCCTTAGCCTGGCCTGGAACTGGCCATTGCAATTTGGACGAGCGAACCAGTGCATGGAAGCTACCTTTGTCCTCTGTCTCAAGCCTTGTTCAGTAAAAGCATTGCAACAGTTTAGAAATTCTTCCTAGTTGTACGAAATAGAATTATGGTGAAAAGAAAATTATGTGTTAATGATAAAAGAGAACCTTATTAATTGATTAAGGTGAAAAATGTGTAAATTTCTAAGACCAAAAGTGAAATTGTCACTAACTTATACAGGTGCAGCAAGTGTTCAGGTAACTGCTTCAGCCACACCTAAAAACTTGAAAGACATTGCAGAAGAACCTTCAAACTGTCGAGGAAAGTCTGTTGGTTTGCATATTGTAGAATCTCTCATACGTCCATGACAAGGAGTATATGTACCCACGTGTTCATCTCCCAGATTGAGAAGTTAGTGTCACATACCCCCATGCAGCATGTCCTTAATGAGTTATAAAATAAACTCCGGATAGCTAAGTGTTATCTGTAATAGGTAGACATTTTACGGGGTGGGAACCACAACATTGAGCATAATCAGTAAGAATAATATCAAATATTTCATTTCTGTTCCATCATCTCTATTTTGGCTTGAAAGTGTCTTTGTTGAGGGCGGTTTGTTCATTAGGATCTGCAGTGCTTTCTAGCTATGTCTTAAGTTTACACTGAAATGAGAATTCTGTGCTTCTCTTTGTCCTAAATCTTCTAGCACTATTTGAATTTTTACTTCTATGTATCTGTCACTTTGATTAATGAAAATCAACTTTGTTATTTTTTATAATGATTACAGGATTGATCAGAGTGGGAAGGATCAAGGTTTAGAGAAAATTGGGTGAATTCATTCCTTCCAAATTGGCTGTTTCTTCTTGTTGTTCCTGGGGGTAGGGAGGGAAACCACTCATGACTTTCCACTCGTCCCAGTCCCCAGGGATGAGGAACCACCACCTCATATCAGCCCAGAGTCTCATGTGTATATATTCCCAGGGTTCTGTCCAGGTGGTTTGGATAGTTCTGAAATGCTGCCGATTTCACTGATCCAAGGATGAGGTCACCCTCCCAATGTCCATTGGCTAATTCACCAAGATTTTTTGCTGTCTTTGTTGATTTGGGATAGTTGTCCAGTTAGTTCTGTTCTGCTGCAGCACCAAACATGCTGCCATATTCTCCTTTTACAACAGGGCCTGTATGCGCTGCTTCACCTTTTCCATTAAGGTAGGACATGTTCTTGCCAGGCGAGTCCCAAGGACCCAGGCCAGGTGTCTTAAGCATCGCGGGATCCCCCACCCCTGGGGCTCATGAACCCAAAACCCACCTTGCAGGCAAGCCCCAGGACCTGGGCTTGGTAATCCCAGTCCTGCCAGATCCCCCATCCCTGGGGCTCATGAACCCGACACCCACCCAAAAGGCAGGCCCCAGAATCGGAGCCAAGCAACTCAAGCCCCACTGGTTCCTCCATCCCCAGGGCTCAGGAACTGAGCTCCCGCTATTCAGGTGGGCCCTAGAACCTGAACCAAGCTACCCGAGCCCTGAGATCCCCTGTGCCTGGGACTCGTGAACCCGGCCCCCACTGGGCCCAGGCTGGCATAACTTGCCTTACATCAGCATCCACAGTCTTAACTGCACAGCCTGGCCTAGTCTAGCTCCTGCTGCTGGGTGCTGCAGCCTATCGCAGCCCAGCCTGATTACTGCCCAGACACAGCTTTCACATAGTTCAGCAGGAGTCAAGACCTAGCCTGGCCTGTTCTGCACCCAACCTAGCCCTCACGAGTACCAGTGGGGGCTGGAGTCTAGCCCAATCTGACGCTCCACCTGCACTGGAGCAGGCTGTAGCCGTGTACAGCCACACCTGCTGCCCTCAGTCCTGTGTCATTCTCACCAGTGGGAACCCAACCCAGCTGGGGTGCCCCCTTGGCTCCCCAGCAAGGCCTGACCCCATCCTCAGCTCTTGGGCGAGCCAGCAGATTGCAGTTCCACAGGGGTGAGCCCACATTGCCCCCACAGATTCTGCCATCAGACCCACTTCTCTCACTCTTGTTCTCCCCTCCAAGCCAATTAGCTGTCAGTCCCCTACTTACCTACCCATGTCATGGACTTGTCCATGGAAGTCCCTCAGCTGTAATTCCTAACCTGGGCATAAAAACCACAGGTCATCTCTCACCACCTCCTCTGAGATCCCATCATTTCCCTGTAAATCAAGACCCTTCAAACCGCGAGTGTGCTACCGGGCTGCCTGCGGTACCTGGCCCTTCTTGGGGAAGCTAGGTGGCCTGGCTACAGGTACCCAGCACCAGGAAGGCAGAAAAAAAAAAACCTTCCCGGATGGACGGAGTCGTGCTAGAAGCCCACTGAGAGTCCCTCCCCACCGGGGAGCCATTGTGCTCAGCTCTATTTACCTAAGCAGGTTAGAAGAATCTTCCAGCAGGAGTCCTGAATGCCTGCCATGAGCACCCCTCTCCAAGGCAGCTGTATGGCCAGGCCACAGTCACCCGGAAAATCAACTTTAAAATCAGAACATCTTGGCCTTGAAATGGTGGCTCAGTGGCTAAATCCTCACACGCACCGGGATCCCTTATGGGTGCTAGTTTTTTCCCCAGCTGCCCCACTTCCCATCCAGCTCCCTTCCTGTGGTCTGGGAAAGCAGTAGAGAATGTCTCAAGATCTTGGGACCCTGCACCCACATGGGAGCTTGAGAAGAAGCTCCTGGGTTTGGATTGTTTCAACACCTCTTGGGGAGTGAAGTAGTAGATGGGGGATCTTTATCTCTCCTTCTCTCTGTAAATCTGCCTTTCTAATAAAAACAAGTAAGTCCTTAAAAAATTATTAGGAAATGCATGACAAGATGTCTGTGATTAGAAGTTTAACTGTGACTTAAAAATTAATTACTCCTAATCATTGTAGAGACTGTCTTATCAGGTAAGCTTACTGATGGAATGCCAGCCTGGATCATACAGTTTCAGCTAGGTTGGCTCTTTAGCTATAGAAAGAGTTAAACATTGATGTCACATTAGTAGCAGGTCAGGGTGGCAATAAAGTGCCACCAATGTTCTCTATGAAAAATGGTTAACAGAAGATTTCTCCGTGTCGAGATCGTTTTCTGCAGCTAGAAACCTCTAAAGTTGTGAGGCTTAGAATTTGCACAGAATTGTAACAGTTTTGACAAATTGATTTCCAGTATCACAGGTGAGTACAAGGGAAGAGGGAGAAGTGTGTTGTCAACAGGCTGATTGTTGGCAGCACTGAGAGATGATCTATAAAGAAGAGAAATGCAGATTCCAGCGTAGGCTTTGAGGAGTAGTGGTCTGTTTCTTATGTACAGATAAAGAATCCAGACTAGCTCTCTGGACCTTTGCAGGAGTGTGTCATAGCTCAGTTATTTTGGCATTGACCTAGCCAAGGTGCTACAGCCAGAGATTTTTTTCAATTAGCCACTTTCCTACTTGTAGCCAACTAATTAGTGAAACATCTCTGAATTCCACCCTGACTCTGATATGTACCAAAGAATGGAAATCAAAGACAAGGCGTCTAGAAAAAATGAAATGACCATTTGGACTGTTTGGGGCATGCACTGTGTATAAAGGCTCTTTCATATTTTCCAAGTTCAGAAAGAGCCCAGACATTTTCAACTGATAAGAACAGCTGCTGCACTTGATCGTAGGTGTGTCTCTTTTTCGTGTGTGACTCCATACACATTTTAGAAGGTTCTTTTTCATGTGTGACTATAAAGAATGGACATCTGATAAGTTTGATTACATTTGCTAAGGTGGAGGTGAATCAAGTCTTTAATATTTTGCTGTTTGTTTTAGAGGAAGTCCGCAAATGAAGGGGACACCCCATTTCAAGGAAGAACAGTGTGCTCCTGCATTGAACTTGGACATGAGGAAGATACTGGACTTGCAAGCGCCCATTATGAGGTACAGGGCTTTCATCAAGTTTGGCACTTTGTGATGACAGTAGACAGTGTAGTTGGTTAACGACAACATAAAAAGGAAAGTTGATTTTATTTCGTTCATTGAAGATAACTTTTGGGCTTTAGAAATGCTCGATGAAATCTTATAAGACGTTCGAAATTCTATGGATATATATATCATTCTATTTAAGTTATCATAAAGCACATTTGATATGCCAACCATAATTTGAAATTTGTGTTTTGAGACGGTTCTAGAGTTGTTTTGATATAAAATAATCCTGATTCCTTCCTCAAGAAGATACTGACAAATTATGACAGCTGAGGAAAAGAGAAAAGATCTTTGTTTTTAAAGCCTTCGGACTTTCTAGAATATACTCGAAAGACTGTTGAGCTTTCTCATCCAACTGTGAATGTAGGTTTTGTGACCAGGTAGCCAGAAGCACCAAAATGTGAAAAATGTGTTTTAGATGTGTTCATAGAAAAAGATTAAGTGGCCTTAGATTTAGTTTGTTTTTTTGTTTGTTTTTGTTTTTTCTTAATATCTTCACAGTTGACGTTTTGGTTTTCAGTTTAGCTATATATTGTTACCATTGTGTTGAGGGAAAATTTAAACATTATGCAACTGTGAAAACAGGACTTTTTTTTTAACTTAAAGATCTTCCAAGTGTATTTTTGGGTAAAAAATACCAACACATATAAAATAATTCTACTGTTTGTTTTTAAAAGGAAGATGGTGATACTAGGATATGTATTGTTCTGGAAAAACTGATGGTAAGACCTGAGTGGAATACAGATTTGGGAAAAAGTCTTTGCTTTGAACTTTTTTATCTGGCAGCATGTGATATGTCCAGCAAGTGCTTTATAACCTGATTAAATCCTTTAGAATTCAGTCAAATTTCTCAATTTTAAGGACCATTTATCTGGAATACTAGATAGTTGGTATAAAGTTCATCAAGTTAGTAGTTGAAGAGGCTTTCTGGGGTTATAACTTTTGTGTGGTTTTGTGTATTTTATAATGAAGTGTGATAAAATATTTAGGAGCTAGTACAGATTGAAAAAGTGTAGATGACTTATTAATACAGTCTGACATCCCCCAGCAAAACTAAAAATTAATATATATTTGCTACATTTTTTGTGATGGGCAAGCACTTGGATGGCTTATATCAAGTCTTATATGCCAGCGTTGATGGAAATAGTCAGTATTTTTAATAACTGACATCAACCATGTCAGTTTGCTTGGTTCCAGTTTAATGAGGAGTCTCCAGGAAATGTACAGAAAGAATATGTTTTCTTTGTAAGGCTCTATTTAATTTTATTTTAAAGGCAGAGTTTCAGAGAAAGGAGTAAAGCACCCACTAGTTTACAGATGATCTTAATGGCCAGAACTGGGCTTGTCTGAAACTAGCTGCGTCTTGTGGCTGTCCTGCATGGGTACCCTTGCCAGGCACTAGGATCCTGCTCCACTGATGTGCCAGGCACGCTGGCAGGGAGCTGGGTCAGAGGGGAAGTAACCAGGGCTTGAACTGGCACCCGTGGGCTGCTGGCACTGCAAGCAGTGGCTTCTTACCTTCTACACTATGGCCTTGTCATTATCATTTTTTTTTCTTATATTATTTTTTAATTCTGTTTCTTCACAAAATATTTGAGGTGCAGTATCCTTACATCTCTTCCTATAGTTTCTTTATCATGTTTATCACAGTTACATTGAAGTTGTTTACTCAACATCAGAATTGCCTGTTTGTCTATTAATGTTGATGAATTTTTATAATTGTCTATGGGACACATTTTCCTGCTTATTTTCATGATTGGCTATTTTTCTATTATGGCTTTGTTGGTTGTAATGTAAATATTATCAATTCATTTTTAAGGAAATCAGTGTTTTACCTAGAGACCTTGGTCATCTTTGTGCTAATTTTCATATAGTTAGGGAAAAGGGGTCAGGGAGGATGTAATTTGAGAAAATCTAGGTTGACTCCTATGAATAAAAATTACCAGTAAGCCAATGACTACCTGCTTAATTGCTTCCCTTGACATGTGCTAGAAGTTCTTTATAGAAATAAGGATTTTACACTCTACTCATCATATGCTGCGCATAAATTTTATCACTGAAATGTGAATATGATTTTGGAATGAAAGTGTATAATTTGAAAGCAAACTATGTGAAACGGGCATTCTAATTGAGTAAGGTTTCTGTGAAATTCAAGAATGAGACCTGAGTAATTTAACACCCGAGTTTAATATTGGTTGGTACTTCATAGTTGGGAAGAAAACAGGTCAAATGCTTCGGAGCCAGCATCTTTAGGGAGTGAGTCATTGAAGCCAGCTCTTCAAAGAATTGTAATTTACTGTAAGAATTAAATACTCAAAGTATTTTCAACATTGTGGATTAAGATATTTGTAAAATATCGTATTTTCATACACATGAAAGATGTAATAGGACACACGCGTATGCGTTTTCCATCCTTGTGCTGGACTTCTGTGTAGTGTGTGCTTTTCTCAACCATCCTTTCTTGAGCCTATCTCATTTCTTTGGATTTCTGCGTCAGTTTCTACGGATTCTTTTTCTTGTTTCTGTCAGTCTGTTTCCAGTCTCATTTGTGAGTTCCGTTTTCCTTTGCCCTTTCTCTGTTCTTTTCTCCTTTCCACAGACATATAACTAGTACTGCCCTTAGAGCGGAGCAGATAGGTGAGCAAAGCAAACCATTAGGTAATCCAGCTTCCTGTCGATGGGCAGTGGTGCTGGGTCAGGTAATTGCGTCCTGACCACCGACTTGGGAGAGCTGGTCTGCCCCCGGCTCCTTGGCCCATTCTCCTGCAGCCATTTCAGGACTGAAGGGGACTGTGAAGGCAGCACTTTGCTTCTGTGTCTCAGAATTGTTGAATGAACTAGCAATGTAAGACTCATTGATACTTGAGTTATGCTTTAGTCTAGAACAGTACTTTACAACACAGTAGCCACATGAAGGTCTTGAATCAAAACTAAACTTCTTAAATTCAGTTGTTAAACTACTCTAGTCTTGTTTGCAGTGTGTAAGTAACACGTGTGGTTAGCGGGAGGTCCGTTGGACACTGCCAGAGGATTGGCACTGCGCTCTGGCTCCAGACATCGACCTGTCACTGGCTGCGTCTGTTTTCCTTGTGGCTTCTCACTGCCTCTTTCTTTCCTATTGTCTGACTTGAATATCTGTCTTTTGATTCGCTACCTCTGTATTTCTAACTTTTTAAATCAAATTCAGCAAGTTTGTGACTCAGTCTTCTAGATACTTTTATGCAAAAGAGAATTAGGTGTGTGTATATATATATATAGTTGATATGTCTATAAAGTTTCATATTAAGTTGCAGATAAAAGCAGTTGTTTTGTAAATGGTTTCATAATGTTTCTTGTGTAAGTAGTCTCTAAAATAGTTATAAATCACACTCGTTTTGAGTCTACAACCTTGCCAGGTCATTGATCGTAGGTTGCTTTCTTTCCTACAGTTTGCAGTCCGTACTAGAAGATCTCCTAGTTGCAACTTCTGATGGACTTCTTCATCTTATTCATTGGGAAGGAATGACGAACGGGAGGAAAGCCATCAATCTTTGCGCAGTGCCATTTTCAGTAGATCTGCAGTCATCTAGAGGTAGTTACACTTTGAACACGAGTTAGAACCAGTTATTTAATATTTTATATCATCCTTTTAGATTATGGATAGAGTGTTATATAACACAACGAAATACTATTCAACCATCCACATGGGTAATATGATATCATTTGCTGTAAAGTGGAACTGGAGGACATTTTGATGAGTAAAGTAAGTCAGAGAAATGAAGATACCACATGTTCTCCTGTAGAAATCAATGAAAAAAATAAGCTGTCTTAATATAAAATACTAGAAAATGGGACAAGTAAGAGAGGTGAAGGGAGCTGGAATAATGGGCATAAAAAATGGAATAATAGGTGAAATTAAAAAGATGCAGTGTCCCACAGCACAGTGAGAGGAGTGTGGTTCACCATGTAGCTGCTATAGTTTATGGACAGACAGCGTTTGGGGGCCTAATAATTACGAACTACACCAATTTCATTAGTACATGCTATGTGGGTTTGTTGAGGTCAAGCTGTGCATCATCAATGTATAAATTATTTGTTAACCAGTAATTTTTAAATGCATAAGTAGAAATGCTTATTGGTCTAAAAAAGGTTTTCTGTGGATGATTTTTTTTTTTTTTTCCTGTAGATTCAGTTACATGGAGACAGATACAAAGATTTAGTAAGAAAGAGTGTTTTAATTGTTTAGGCTTACCAGATAGTTGCTTCTGCCTTTCAATCTCTCTTTACAGTGTTTGTAAGTAGAAGTGGGAGAGGCACCAGCCTCGGTGGTTAAGTGTCCACATCCCACCTTGGACGACGTGGGCTCAGTTCCCACTTACACTTCTGCTTCCAGCTTCCTGTTGATGCAGACTCGGGTGGCTCAAGTAATTGGGTTCCCGCCACGTACCTGGGAGACTCGAGCTGACTTCCTGACTTAAAACTTAGTACAATACCAGCCATAGTAGCCAGCTGGGGAGTAACCAGTGCATAGGCTCTGTCCTTTTGCCTTTCAGTAAAGATACTTGCTAAGTGAGAAAATACTTCACCTATAATCCCGTTTCATGTGCTTATTTTTTCATCAGTAGGTTCATATCTGGGCTTTGCAGATGTATACATCAGAGACATGGAATATTGCGCCACGCTGGATGGGTTTGCTGTTGTGTTTAATGATGGCAAAGTTGGATTTATTACACCAGTGTCAAGTAGATTCACTGCAGAGGTATGGCTCATTTTGAATATTTGCTTTTCTTAGTTTTCTTACAGTCGTTTTGCTCGAGATATATTTAAAAATAGTACAAGTCAAATATTACATCAGGCCTGTTGAGAAAGATCATGGTTCCTGCCTCCTTCCTACTTTCCTCATGTTCAGTTTCCATTCTTAGAGACAATTCCTTTTTTTTTTTTATTTTGCTATTTGTATTAACTGCCATCTTTTTTTGTTTTTAGACTCTATTTAACTTCTTTCTATAGAAAATGACCCTTTACCTCCCTTAACCTGTTCACACCACACTTCTTAAAATCTCACATTCCCATAACTTCGTGGTTTTAGATTACTGCCGATTGTTATCTTTATTAATACATAAACCCTGTTATCAATAACTGGATCATATAGTAGGTTACAGTTCTTTTTCCTTTCCTCAATCTTTTCCTCCCACTGGGAGTTGTTCTGTACAACGATTAGTAATTCATGTACACACATTCATAAATGTACACATGTATTAATTTTTGTATACCAAACACATCAAGTATCTTAACATGCAGGAGGTGTTCTCAGCTTTTATTACTAGGTAGTAATAAAGAGTTTTTTTAAAGCAGCGAAAAGCAGGTGGATATTAATAAGTCATGAATGGAAAAGATAAATTTATAGAGAGAGAGCAAAATAAACTGATTTTGTATTCAATTTTCCACAAACATTTTAATTCCCTCATGTTAACTGATGATTCAGAAATGCACTAAAGTATTTAACAGGTGTGTTAAAATATTAGATAATACTATCCTCTGTTTGGAATTAACTGAAACTGTGTAATTAAGATAACATCTGCTGCCGAGGAGCACGAGACCTGGAGAAAATACATTTTTCAAAGCTCTTGAATACTCTGGGAGCTAATAAGCCAGTGAAGAATTGCCAGGACAGGAAAAACCAGGGGTCCAGTGAGCTGAGTGTGGTGCTGAGTCTTCACTGGGGAAGAACAAAGTAGGCTTTGTGCAAAAACAGCAGCAGATCTCAGTCATTCGAATGTAAGTAGAAAGGTACAAAGGGGTATTATTTTAAAATTACAAGGAAGGGCACTTGGTGGGGGCGCCTCTGCCGGACGGAACCCTGCCGGGGTCTCAGCCACAACCCCCGTCGCAAGACGGGGGCAGAGGCCCAGGCCTTGGGTGGCCAGTGCACCAAGTGGTGTCAGGCTCTGCCTGCTGGCCGCCCAGTGGCGAGCTCTGGGGTTTTTGATGATATGAAATAGCTGCTTTGGGACACCCAAAAGTAAGACCAGCGTTAGCGTAGGTGAGACACTAATTTCTGGTGATTCCCAGGAACCGGGACATGAAACCTTAATGTAAGTGTGGGACTGAGAGCTGAATGTTCGGACTAAGCAAACCTTAGTCCACTAGCATGACTGGAACACAGGGTGCAACACAGGACATGCCCAGCTTGGTTTTGGCTCCAACTGGTCCACATTAAGCACAGAGTTGAGCCACGGTGTCTAAGGCAGGGGTCATGACAGGTGGATGGGGCTGCGGCAGGGTCTGGATACAGTTGTTGTCTCCCTTGGCACAAATGTGGATTGGAAAAAGATGTCCCGGGCCGGGCCAGACAGTAACACCTTCTGGTGCTTTGGAGTACCAGGGTGGATGTGGGATGGACTAGGCTAGGTCCCAAACTCAACTGAGCCATATACGAGCTATATGGGGGCATGGACGACCGTGGCTGGGCTGAAACACTCTACAGCAAGAACCAGAACGGGATGATGGCCAGTTAGGAAAGGCCACTGTTCCTGCTAGGACAAGAGGCGAACTGGCACATGGACCCACTGATATGCGCGAAACCTGGCACATGGAGGGGTTCTGATGGAGGAGCTCAGGCAACTCCTCTAGCAGGACACAGACCCTGCAGGTCAGCGCAAGGAACATGGAAGAGGTCATCGAAAGTGTCCCACTGGCATGCATTTGGCATGGGTCGGGGGCAGACCAGGCTGAATCTGTTCATGTCATCCACTGGTAAATATGATCGCCAGAACAGAGTGTGGGTTGAACCAGGTCCAGTCGTGACAAAAGCAACACACAAGTTGGAATGCCAAGGTGAGGTAGCCTGAGCCGGATGCAGCCGCAGCACCCAACCAACACACGTGAGAACCAGGAAAGGAGGAGGCAGAGCTGACAGGAGGATAAGGGGAGGTTCCCTAGCTGAACAGCAACTTACACTGAGGCTGACCCATGAACACCTTCCGGTCTCTCCCCTCCACACCACGAGGTCTCAGTCCCTTTGCTTACCTGCAGTACAGTGGCCTTATCCAGTGAGATCCCTGGGCAGTCATTTCGCCCCTTCAAGGGCCCAGAGCTTGCTGCGGGGCAGCCAGCGGGCGAAGCCTGGCACCGGTTGGCGCTGTGGCCACCAGCAAGCCCTGAATTCACACACCACTTGGGAGCAGTGACTGGGGCTAGGGGCCCAGGCATCGGGGCCGAGCTGATTCAGATGCCCCCCGATGCTGCACATTTCCCGGGTGAAGAAATAAGAGGCAACGGGAACATCCATGCAAGTGGCGAGCGGCCGTCGGTTTCCCAGTGCAGACAGATCTATCCAGAGACAAGGCTCTTCTCCTGAGCTCCTCTGCCTCACGGGCCCCAGTGAGGCAGTGCTGCCATCTCGGGCCATGCACATGAGGGATGCTGGGCTCGAGGCAGTCCAGCCATTTGAAAGAATCAGTTTTCTTTTCCCACATGTATATAACCCATGTTGAGGGATTCCATTCTGCTTCCTTCCTCCCTTCCTTTTATTTCAGGACTTATTTGTTGCAAAGGCAGATTTACAGAAGAAAGGAGAAGCAGATCTGGCACCTGCTGGTTCACTCACACCAGGGCCTGTATGCTTGGTTTCTTGAATCTGATTTCCTTCCCTCCTTTCATTCATCCTTTGAGATACCCATTCCTTCATACTCTTTCTTTCTTCAGCTATTCATCTCTGTCTTCCTGGCCCAGCTTCTTTTGTCGCAATTTCCCCCTCTTCTGTGTAGTCACTCTGTAGAGCCCCCAGTGTTCCGTGCTCATGAAGTTGTGCAGGGCCAGCTTTTTGAGGCCGTCTCTCTCAGACGTACCAGTGTTACTGCAGGAAGCTAGGCGCAGCCCGCCGGTTGGAACCGTTCTGGAGCGTCTCTGTGTTCATACTTACAGATGGAGTAAAGACAGCGACTGTGCTGAGAACATGTACATCGACATGATGCTCTGGAGACACGCCCGGCGCCTCTTAGAGGACGTGCGGCTCAAGGACCTGGGCTGCTTCACCGCGCAGCTGGGCTTTGAGCTCATCGCTTGGCTGTGCAAGGAGCGTACGCGAGCTGCTCAGGTCGATAACTTTGTGGTGGCCCTGAAGAGACTGCACAAAGACTTCCTGTGGCCGTTCCCCATCATCCCAGCCTCTTCCATCAGTTCTCTTTCCAAAAATGGGAAATTCCGAACAGGTAATAGCATGAGGAAATCTGCGTTGTACTCCACCCATCTTGACATGTTGCTGTTAGAGTCAGGGAAGTCTTACTCGATACTTCGGTCAAACTCAAAGCCAACTCTTTGTGCGTTATTTGCAACATTCTGCGAAGAGCTTATGCCCCCAACTCTTTGAAATCTAATTCATAATCCTAACCTTTGTTATTCTACATCATAAGCAAGTTGGGGACTGACTGAACTTAAAAAATCTGCCGTAATTGTGGAGAGGAGCTTTGGAGCTAGGCGATTGTGACCTTGCGATGAGCTAAATTGTGATTTTTACTGGTCGTTAAAAATAACAAAAATGCATCTCTGACAACCTCAGCGTCTGGTAGGAGAGGAGAGAAATGAAGCTGTATATTCAGGCAAAAGAAAAAATTGCTTTTTCCTTTTGAATCTTAAAAAAACTGTTCTACTTTCTATGAAAAATTTAAACAAAAAATTTTAATAAGCCACCTGGAAACTTGATAGCATCCTAGAGCCCAAGGCTAACCACTTAGAAGACTGACAGAATAAAAGTTTTGTTTCTTTCCAGTTCAGAGATGATGAGGATACTGTTAGATGAGATTTTACAGTGAGGTTCATTTTGGTAGAAGCCTAAGTTCCTGGCTTCAGGGTGAAGGAGGATAATTATCTGAGTATTAGCATTGGCTGGCCAAATGGGAGAGACTCAACAGCTAAACTGGAAATTTCCACAGGTACATCTTGAATTTCTTTTCCATTTGTGTTTTGTCTTGTTTTTGCAACTTCACTGCAGTGGGAGAGCAGCTGTTCAAGTCTCAGTCGGCTGAACCGTTTCCAAACCTGGACGTGGAGGCTGGCATCTCTGCCATGCAGCGAAGTCAGAGCTGGCTGGGCAGTGTCGGCCCCAGCCATCCTGAGCTGGACACGGCCTCATCCCACGGGCCGCAAAGGCAAGATGCCTTCCTGTCACCCTTATCCAATAAAGGTAACCATCACTTCAAGCTCCTCTTTAGTTCCTTTCAAAGTAAGGCATGTGCTGTAGCTCTGCTGAGTAGAACTCCACTCTGCCTGCAGGTCCAAAGATGAGGCAAGGCCAAGTTAGCGTACTAGAGGACGGGCATGTTGGCTCTGCCTACACTGGATCTGTTTATCTTAGAGAAATGAAATAGTTTAAATGTCATTATAGGTCAACACCAATAGATGACTCTGCCATCAATTTGAGCCCAAGTAGATAAAATGCTATTCATACATGGAGAATTCTTACCGCAGACCAGGATGAAAATAGTTCGACTCCATTATCAGTTACCCATTAAAAATTTGTAGAAATTTTTTTTCTCATTAGAATAAAAACATTGTCTTAACCATTTTAAACAGTTTATTAGCTTTATTTACATCCACGTTCTTGCCCGACCTCCCTGGTTTGATGAAGTACCTGACTAGGAACCTTCTAGAAGTTGTCTTTGGGACGGCTTGTTCTTCTTCGGATGATGTCGTCATTTGCTTCCTCTGAGGCGGAATGCCACTCCAGCCACTGCGTGGACACTGCGCCCGTTTGCCCACGCGGCTGGCAAGGGGCATCTGGGCTGTCTCTGGGGGATGCCGGTACAAACACTGAGGCACGACGCTCTCTCAGAAGTCGGCTTTCAGTAACTGCGGAGCAGGCGTCAGAGTCCAGCGGCAGTTCTTGTCATTTTGTGAGGAATCCCCGTACCCTTCCCTGCAGCGTTACCACTTTTACATTCCTGCCAGTGTATGGGTTTGTTGTTTTTTGGACTAGCCCTGCTAAGGGGTGTGAAGTGGCCAGCTACTTTTAGGACACTTTGTGAAAGAGTCAGACATTTAGAAAAACAGCGAGCCATTCCCCCGTTGCCCAGCTTCTGTTGTTACAACTTGTGACAAATTTGTCCTGATTCAGTACACATAATTTATCTGTAAATAGCTAGCCTACAAGAACACTTTTTTATTAAGATTTATTTTATTTTTATTTGACACTTACAGAGAGGAGACAGGTCAGTCTTCCATCCACTTGTTTCTCAAAGGTCCTGATTTTCTCTTAAGATTTCTTTTTGTTGGGGCCTGGCGGCGTGGCCTAGTGGCTAAAGTCCTTGCTTCGAACACTTTGGGATCCCATTCGGGCACTGGTTCTAATCCTGGCAGCTCCACTTCCCATCCAGCTCCCTGCTTGTGGCCTGGGAAAGCAGTCGAGGACGGCCGAGAGCCTTGGGACCCTGCACACGTGTGGGAGACCCGGAAGAAGTCTCTGGATCCTGGCTTCGGATCGGCATAGCATCAGCCATTGCGCTCACTTGGGGAGTGGATCATGGGACAGAAGATCTTCCTCTCTGTCTCTCCTCCTCTCTATATATCTGACTTTCCAATAAATAAATAAATCTTAAAAAAAAAAAAGATTTCTTTTTGTTGGGGAGGTAGATTTCCAGAGAGGAGAGAAAGGTCTTCCATCCAGCGTTCACTCCCCAGACGGCCGTGTCACTGGAGCTGAGCTGATCCCCAGGCAGGAGTCTTCTAGCCTCCCACGCTGATGTACATCTCGGGCCCTGGAGCATCGGGACCGTGAACCAGTGCCCACATGGGATCCTGGCACTTGAAAGGGGAGATTAGCCAACTGAACCAACACCCAAATGTCACGGTTTTGTAATAGTATGAGTCAAGACCCGAATCAGGCTCACACATTGCATTCACATTTTTAAATCTGTTCTTGAGTGTACCCTTCTCTTCCTCCCCCCCCCCCTTAATAGCACATTCATTGAAGAAACTTGTGTCTGGGGATCTTTTCTCATGGTAGTTTTATTGATTGCTTCTAAGTGCTTAGTTTTAAAGCAGTTTCCTCTGTATTTGCTGTAATTTAGCTGAATCTAAGGACTTGATCAAAGCTCGTTTGTGGGAGACAGAACACTGCCCGCTCATGGTCACTGTGACACTGAAGGCACGTACTGTCTGGTCGACTCCAGCGACCTTCTTCTCAAGCATCTACTGCTGTGAATGGCACAAGCTCAGCAGTGAATCCGGTGTTTTTTGGTTCAAAATTGTAAAGCTAACATCTGCAAAAACAGCTCAAAGTTAAAATTAAAGGAGGGGTAAGCATTGTGGCATAGAAGATAAAGCTACTCTGTATATCACCTGTGGGCCCCAGTTGGTGCTGGCTGTTCCACCTGTGTTGAACTCCCTGCCAGTGGCTGGGAAAGCAGCGGGACATGGCGAGGCGTTTGTGCACCTGCCACCCACCAGGAAGACTTGGCTCAAGTTCCTGACTTTGTGCTAGCCCAGCGCTTGTCATTGTGGCCATCTTAGAGAGCGAACCAGCCGATGGAAGATCTGTCTGTCCTCTGTAACTCTTTGAAATAAATAAGTAAATATTTAGGCAAAATTCATACATAGTGTGTTCCACATGAACCTGGTTTGTGATTTGCTGATTCTTCATCAGGTGACGAATGCAGTATTGGTTCAGCCACGGATTTGACTGAGAGCAGCTCCATGGTGGATGGGGACTGGACGGTGGTCGAGGAGAATTTCTCCACGCTCAGTCTGACTCCGTCCGAGCTGGAGCACATCTCCATGGAGCTGGCAAGCAAAGGCCCTCATAAATCCCAGGTCCAGCTTCGGTGAGTCCCTCAGATCTTCAAGCTCAGTCTCGACTCGGGGAGTTCGTAGAGATGGCTTAGAGGGACCGCTGCCTTCTGATCACTGCCGCCCCATGCAAGCTTCGCCTCTTCCCAGTCCCAACCCTGGTGTTTCCGCTCTAGGTACTTACTGCCTATTTTCATGGAGGCCGGATGTTTGGACTGGTGCATTGTCATTGGCCTGATTCTGAGAGAATCCTCAGTAATCAACCAGATTCTGGCTATTATACAGTCTTCAGAGGTGGATGGAGAGATGTTACAGAACATTAAGACGGGGCTCCGTGCTGTGGACCAGTGGGCCTCTACGGATTGGTAAGTGTGGTCTCCCCGGGCCCCTTAGCCCTCGGTGGATCTGTCCCTTCTCCTCACAGCTTAGTTGTGGTTCAGCTGGTTTAGTTCTGTTGTTCAAGTTTGATAGTTTTAAGTTAACTAGAAATAAAAATACTTCCATATATTAATTTTGACTTTAGTCATTCCTGACCCAGCTACTTGAATGATTAATGTCTCTTTAGTGAAGTTGAGTTTATACGTTGCAATATGAAAAGACATCACTAGGGTGGGGCTGCCGCACAGCAGATCATCTTAGAATTAGTCTCGAACTTAAGGCTTATAGTTCTATGGAATTGAAGAAAAGGTCGGCTTGAAAAGATGAAAAATCTGTCTGAAGTTAGCATTTCATGGTGGCTGCTAGCAAGCTCACATTTTGAGTGCTTGACGGGACTGGAGAAGCCTCGTGGTCCAGCCCAGCCCCGCTGCTGTCAGCGGGCTGTGGGTTTCTGCGTCAGGATTTCCCTTACATGGACCTCATTCTCTTCAGTTGCCACATGTGTTTGATGTTAAAATGTCAGTGTTTGCTTCTAATGCTCAGATCCTGGAGTCGTGGCCCCATGTGTGGCAGTCCCAGGGCACTGAGCAGGCCACTCGGCAGCCTGCCTTCTCCCACAGCCTACTGCCGCCTTTACTGTCCGCGCTTAGATGTTGATCTAACACTGTACCAAGGCTTGTGAATTTGGAAGATGAGAGCTGCTTTTCTCTCCCCCTCTGCTTAGCCCTGGATATAAGCCATTTTTAAACATGATTAAGCCTCAACTGCAGAAGCTCAGTGAGATGACGGAAGAGCAAGTTGAGCCTGACGCCTTCCAGCCAGTAACCACAGGCAAGACCGCGGAGCAGGCCAGTCCCCGGGCCGAGGAGCGCAGGGGATCCTGCAGCCACGGAGCCGTCCCGCAGGGCGAGGCGGCGGGGACCAGTGCAGCCAGCCGCCAGGAGGACGACACGGCTCGGGCAGAGCAGGAGGAGCCCTTTCAGGATGGGACTTACGACTGCTCTGTGTCCTGACCGTGAGGCGACGTGTGACAAGCAGTATTAGCAGCAGCTGAGTCCACTGTGTCCTAGTTGCTGACGGATGACTTAAAGGGGAAGAGAACGCAGGGGCTCAGAGTCTCTTTCGTAAAGTATTATTCGATTTTAAGTAAGAAATCTCCGACTCCATAAAAATGTGATATCAAATAAAGCATCTTTCATAAAAAATTTCTTAAGCTGCAGGAGAAATACAACATGCTGTACATACGTACATTAGCAGATTTGGGCTTTATTCACAGGCTGGTAGCTCTTAAGGGAGTGCTTGGCCCCGGTGAGCTTTTGACTGCTTAGAGCTTCTCGCGCTTTTCCCTGGTTGACTGTGTGTGCTAAGGTGCTTGACCGGGTCCGAGCTCACTACACTCCCTGCTTGGCCCTCCCGAACAGATGCCTGCCTTGGCACAGCACGGGGACGCGCACGAGGGCCGTGGAAAGCGGAGTTCCGGGATGTTGGTTTTGGTGCCGCGGGGGCCTCCAAAAGCCGTGGAAACTGAGTGTCATAACACGTGAACGCCAAGGGTGTCTGCACCAAAACAAACCTTCTCCGGTTCTGTTCTCCATGCCCGGCTTGGCAGCTCCCCTGCCCGTGTCAGCGTGAGCCGTTCTCCTTTGCCGTTGGCAGCCCGTCAGACCCCAGTCCTATCCGTGCAGGCTGTCCACACGGAGCGAGGGTGCCCGCTGGAGCGAGCTTTGTTCCTCCTAGATCAGTGTGGGCACAGGCTGAGGAATTCTCACCAATTCTGCTGGTAGATACCACTAAACTGTTTTGTATCAAAAAATTGTACCTTTTTGTGAATACTCTCGGTGTAAATAAATCCAAAGACACTACTCATATTTTTAGCACTTGTATTATAATTTGTAAGGTTTTATGCTGGATTCCGCCTCCCTATAAATACTTAGAGAATTATAGCAACAGGGCTTGTTTTTCTTTCCCAAAAAGAGCGGTCTTCATAAAGACAGACTCCTTATTGGCTCAGCTGGTCATAACAAAATGCTCACACTGATCATGAAATGGAACAGATTTTTGTGCAAATTAACATAGTTTACTATTTATTGATTTTGTCAATTGAATAAAATGGACTTTTATGTAAATAGACTGCTGAACCTTATCACGGCTACTAAAAATTAGTCTGTAAAGAATGCATCCTTCATTGTAAACTTTAAAGTATTTTATGTATTTGTAGATGACAAATTTGTTTTCATGTTGTGAAAACTGCATATTTCATCATTGGTTCATACTAGTCACATATCCTCCACTGTATCTAATTACCTTATAACAGTATTAATTTAGATAGCTTGTCTGTACTGTGCAATTTGAACAAGGAATGCAATGTTATTTTTTACAAAAACTTATTTTTGTAACAACATATTTGATATGGACCACATTCGTACCACTATGTTTAAAAAAAAAAAGCCTCTTCTCACAGTGCAATTCCAGTTCAGAAACAAGGCCTGGTCCTCTCGCTGCCCTGGAAAGGAAATACCCGGATTCAGTTCTTAGCCCGTTTCCTTTGAAGGGAATTGAAACTATCTTGAATTGTTTGGTTCATAATTCATCAAACTCTTCAAAATTACTGATTTGGGGGAATTGACTGTCATTTACTTTTTACATTAGAAGTGCAATCATTTCACACAATAAAACTCCTAATGGATCAAATATGGTCTTATTGGTACCTGGTCCTTCTGGTGCTACTGTTACTTAAGTCAGCTTCAAACCACCTTTCCCTGAATGGCTGGAAGGTCAGTGTTTCCTGAATGAGTCCAGGCAGCCCAGCCAGAAAATAAACTGACCTCTCTTCTCCTGCCCCGGTCCGTCAGAGGGAACCAGCATCACTGTCGTTTGCTGCAGATATTCATTTAGTAACAGCTGCACACAGCTGGCTAGCTCACACCATGCTGCCGCCGAGGTCACCCTGCGAGCAGCACCCACAGGGTGACTCCTGCGGTGGAGGCCGTGAGCGAGTCCCTTCCTCTGTGAAATGTTGGCTTTCAACTAATAAATAGGCCACAAGGGAAGAAAATTGGTACGTTTACATGTTCTATTTATTAGATACTTTTAATTCTTTGAAGAACTCATTTTTACCATGTTGTTTGGTTGACATCAATTGTTTTAAGCCATCATTTTAACCAAGGAACTTAAATATAACTATTTGAATTTTAGTGCATTCATGTAAATTATTTGTTGATACCCAAAGAAATCATCTAAGGGGAGAGTCAACATTTGCTTGTAATTAAATTTGTTGCTACTTCTGTAATTTGTATTTTTTTTAATAAGGGCAATAAAAATTATTGCACAAACTTCTGTTTATTTGTTATCAGGCAACAGCAAAAATATGTATTGAAAGCCACTTTTTGTAATTTTACCTTTTTAAATTTTCCTTATGTTGCAACTCGAAATTCAGAGATTTAAAATTCTTATTCTATGTAGATATGTAATGGGAGAATCAGAGTTGGCAATGTTAAATGTGAACTGCTTTCCCGGGCCACAAGCAGGGAGCTGGAGCTGCCGGGATTAGAACCGGCCATCCCGGGCGTGCAAGGCGAGGACCTTAACCACTGCGCCATCATGCCAAGCTTTATTTTGATTGGAAAATGTGGAGAGACAGAGAAAGACAGAAAGAAGGAGAGACTCCCCCAAGTGGGCACCGAAACCTAGGAGCCTCTTCCTCTTCCAGAGACACTGACCCAGGACAAAATCCCTCCAGGGTCTATGGCCACCCAAGGTTGGTGGGGCCGGTGTCTCAGGTTTAAGATGTATGTTCCCCCACCCCCCACCCCCCCAAGTGAGCACAAGGGTCAAAGCCAGAAGCCTCTTCCAGGTCTCCCACGCGGGTGCAGGGTCCCAAAGCCCTGGGCCGTGCTCAACTGCTTTCCCGGACACAGGCAGGGAACTGGATGGGAAGCAGGAGCTGCCGGGATTAGAACCGGCGCCCATCTGGGATCCCGGGCAAGGGCCTTAACCACTGCGCCATCACGCCAGGCGCTGGCTTGACTTCTTTTTTTTTAAGCTTTATTTTTTTTGGAAAGGTGGAGAGACAGCGAGGAAGATCTTCTCACTCCCGAAGTGAGCACGGAAGCCAGGAGCCTCTTCCGGGTCTCCCACAGGGTGCAGGGTCCCAAAGCTTTGGGCCGTCCTTGACTGCTTTCCTGGGCCACAGGCAGGAAGCTGGATGGGAAGCAGGAGCTGCCGGGATTAGAACCAGTGCCCATCTGGGATCCCGGGCGTGCAAGGCGAGGACCTTAACCACTGCGCCATGGCGCCGGGCGCTGGATTTGCTTAATTGTACTTTGTTGTGTAACGTTCCATAGGCTGTCCTTAGATCAGTACCAGGCGGGCTTAATGGCTGTAGCTTTGCAGGAGTTGGTGGAAAATGCCATACATTTGAGGCTGCGTTTTATTTCAACCAAGATCCATCCTGTCCCTTTGAACTTGGCAAATTCCCCAGCTAGATGGAGCCACTAGTTGAGACGCAGCCGCGCCTCGTGTCTTCTTGCTCTTTAGGGGAGCTGCCGGCTTGCTGAGTACCGTATTAGCTTGAGGTTTCTCATAGGATTTTTGGAGAGCGTTTACTCGTCTGTTAAGACGCTCCCCTGCTTCTACTCTGTATTACTGAGTGTACTACCTTACTGTTTTGCATTAAATCAACGACCTCTGGGGTAAGCCCCACTGCGTCACTGCAGAGTGCAACTGAGCAGAAATTACAGGTTACATTTTTGAAAATCAAATGTGAAGGCGGTAGTTTCAAAGAGAATACTTTGAATACTTGTGGTTACAGTCCGCCACGAAGAGCTGCTTCACCTCCAAGGCACGCTCTGTGGGGGGTGGTCACTGTTGAAAAGGAAGTTCTTTAAGATGTATAAATATGGTAAACTTCTCTGGAAGGGTACCACCACTTCAGTTTGTAGTGAAAGTGATGGAGGCAGAGAACATGTGTCACTCTGGCTGGTTTGGGATGCTAGCCACCCTGTGGACAGGAAATGGTATGGCATGTTTCTGCATTACAAGTTAACTGCTTAATTCATTAGAGAGAGCAATCATTTATGGTAAAAAGTTTATTTCAGTAACATTGTAAGGCAACAATAAATCTTCAACAAGGCAGCAAACCAGGATCAGACAGTCTGCTTCCCTCCACCTTCCCGAGGCGGGGACGGCTGGAGGCACCCTGGCTAACTGTGGAAGCACTCCATGCGACAGTCATTCTTAGCTCAACAGAAGGAAAAGGCACTTAAATCATAATTCTTCATATTTTCCCTGAAAGTGTACTGTGCTACTTGTATTTAACTCTGTAGAAAATAATGCATTAGTTAGAGCTGGGCAAGACCCTCGGGGAAGGTGTTCCGATGTTCCGATGGAGTGCTTCCTAACGGTGCAGTAACGCTATGCTGATTATGACGACCTGACTGTTTCGGGCGCTAAAGACAACTGGCCAGTGTATTAACAAGCCCTGAGACTGCTTAGCAGCTTGTTACTGACTATACAGCATCAAAACTACCATAATGCTGAGGAGGAAAGTACCCCCCCCCCCAGGACAGCCGTGACCCCTGCTGAGGAGTCCCAGCATCCTTTCCCAAGGAGGCCACGCAGGCAGCAGCTCTCACAGAAGGTCCTCAAGGTGAGATGGGGGTGGCTTTCCTACGTACTAATTTCTAGTGATTATGTTAGCCACGGGGCAGTGTGCCTGTCTGCAAATTCATTGGTCTCTTTCCTTTCCCTTACAAGTGTGAGTCTAAGCCCTCAACTGTGCTAACGGTTACAAACAAGACCCGGCAGGAGAGGAGCACAAGCCAGACACCTGAAACACCTGAAACAGCACAGCCCGTCTACCAGACAGTGACTGCCGCAGCCCAGGCTCCAGCGGGCACATCCCGGCCCTGCGCCCTTGCCCCTGGCGCCCTGAGGGCGCGCTGCAACGCCTGGACTCCCAGGAGATGCCAACTTTGTTTTCCCCCTTTTGGCTGTGCCTTTTTTCTCACCTATCTCCTGGCCTGTCGTTTCATAGAATTTATCCAGAAAGCTCAGCAGTTTACCACTGACGTCAGAGCTAGAGCCCAGATCAGCGTGTGTCGCATGCCCATCTTCCCCGTCAGTGACGACGCAAGCACTGGGCACGGTTGAGAACAAAAGGCCCCAATTCAGCCAGGGCATCACGTCCTAAAGGATTAACCTTGTAAAATAGAAGACTCCCACGAGAAAAAAAATAATATTTATAAAATCCCCACCTTTCCCCTTCCACTCTGCTCTACTCCATGGTAACCAGAGCGGCAGGTCAGTGCTGAGGAAGTTAAGGACTTGCACAGAAAATAATTTGGAACCTAAAAAGTCTGCAAGAATCCCTAGGGAAGTGGAGCACATTTCAGAGGGAAAGAGTCCGTTTCGGGGACCCCTTGTCAACTTGTGGTGACCCCAGCCTGCTCCCCTCGGGGCCAGGTGGCTCAGCACAGGCTGGGGCCTAAAGTCCACTGCGTGGCCCAGTGTCCCATCTGCAGGACTGTCCCTTCCCAGGGCGCCCCAGTTAGACCTCGAGAGCTGCTTCCCCTGAGGCAGCACGCGGGCTGGCTAGGACTTCTGTCTCCTTAAGGATGGCCTCAGTTTATGTCCTTGATCCTGGAGGAGTGGCTACTGCAGTGGTCATGGGCTTCTGTCCTGAAGGTCACAGAATGACAGTGGCAATGCCCGCGTGTGCTTAAGTGCCAGAGGACTGGCAGTGTCAAGTGTCAGCAGGCCATGTATGTCCCACAGCTTAACCATTGCAGTGTTGGGCCCTGAAAAGTGCTAACCGAAGTTCTTCCAACATTTCTCCATTAAAATTCAGTGACTTGAGTTACAAACATCCACGTGACCCAGGGAGAGACTGTGTCACAGGAATTATCCACTGGCCACATGCTCCACGCTGTCACAAGATCAAAACACATAGACACTGTAGGTGCACACCCAGGCGGAGGGGAACGCCCAGTCTGGAAACTTCTCCTTCAGGGCGTCCAGTGCTGGCGATCTCTTGTCCTCCCCGGAGAGATAGTGGGCGGCGATGGCCACAGTGACCATGCCTTCAGGCTGGTCCGCCGAGCCCTGCCAGGAGAGAAACGGGCAGCTCTCTTAGCACGCCAACAGCAAAACCCGTGGATGCTCGTTAGGGCCACCTGGGAGCCTGGCCAAGAAAATTCCCACCTGCACTTCTATCCAGAACTGCCACGCGGAAGCCTGGAGTCCGTGGGAGTAGAAGACAAAGTAGTCCCCCCCTTTACTTGTGACCGGGGTGCCATTGCCCAGAGACCACTGCGAGAGGGTGGACCCCTTGTGAGCGCGCACGTAGAATGACATGTGGCTGGGTCCTGAAAGACAGCAGGAAGGAAGAAGAGTTAGTCTTGTAAGAATTATCTGAAAAAGCAACCAAGCCACCCAAGGCTCAGACTGTTGTAGCACGTTATGCCTGAGCACTTCAGAAAGCTTGCAGGAAAGCGATACAATTCAGATTTTTTAAGAAAATGCATAATTTCTCATACACGTTTTCCATGAAAATAACCTTACTACTTCCTGTCTTTCCCTCTTGTTTTACTTGAAAATTGTTTAAAAATAAATGTTTTAATTATACTTCCCACAAAGTTTTCTGAAGTCTCTCCATACCTTCTGCATTCCTGTGGTACAGGCTCAACGCCCAAAGTGATGAGAGCCGCAACGGGGAAGGATGGGACGCCAAATGAGAAAGCCTAATTAGGTCACCGCCCCGGTGCTCGGCTGCTCACAGCATTCGGTGTGGGGGCATAGCAGGTGGACAAAGCTGCCGCCTGTGGCACCAGAATCCTGGTTCAGGTCCCAGACACTTCCCTCCTGACCCAGTTTCCAGCTAACACACCTGGGAGAGGAGCAGAAGCTGGCCAGCTCGGCCATCCAGGTAGCGAACCAGACAATGGAAGATGTCTTTCAAATAAGACTAGTCCAAGTATCAGTCATGAAAAACTAGATAAATCTAAACCCACTCAGAAGTGAGTGAGTTAGGTTTATTTAGTTTTTAAAATAGCTTACCAATCTGACAATCTTTTTATTGAATTAAAGGTATTAAGTGTTTCAACAACGTTGAAATAGTTTTGGTAAAAGCCTGATAAGCCAAAGAAATTTTTTTTCAAGAAAAACATATTCAAATGGGCATTTTAAAATTAGTCGGTTAAAAACTATCTTTGCACCATGTAACGTGTTTTATGAAACAGAACTAGACAAGATGGGTGACATTCCAACACCCCAATAAAACATACTGGTATTCTACTCTCAGTAAAAAAAATCAACAACAATGACACAGGGGATGTGAACAAGATGAATGAATCACACGAGCAGGCGAATGGAATGAGGTTAGAACACTAATGCGCATTGGGGAAATGGCATCGTGGCTTACAGAATTCTAAGCATCCTTGACTTCCGCTTTACACGACTTTTCTCAAGTGCCCTCACGTGAACCTCACACTCCGTGTGTTCACAGCACAGAACATACTTCCCAGCATGAAGTACTTACATTACCAAGGTCAGAAAGTAGCACAGTTACCTGCAACTGTAAATATCAGAAACAACAACTCAAAATGAAATTTGAAACTTTATCTGAGAAGCAGAGGTCTTCCTTCCCCTGCGGTCCACAGCAGACAGAGCTGGGCCCCAGTGGCGGGAGCCTGGAATCTGAGGCCGTCACTGCCTCCCATGGGTGCGGGAGGCTCGGGACGTGAGAACGGGCTCTCCGGTGTGGGGTGCAGCACCCCACACGGCGGCTTAACCACTGCACCAAGCTAACAGAGCTGAGCAGCTCCATCTGGAAAGCAGGAAACTTAACCTTGTAAAAATAAGCTGTGATACACTAAAGCCGGGGGGGAGGAAAAGCCACGATACTTCCAGTAAGCCAAGACAGGATAAGCAGTTCTGCAAGACAAGTGGAGAGTAACTTTCAGGGGGTTTTGTTTTTGATTAGGTGACCCAAACATAGCCAGCCGCGAATTACAGCAAGTGTGTGTGCTGTGTCCAAACTCAAACACACGCACACACACACACACACACGCATGCACGCACGCACACGAGTGAAACCAATGACTGAGGATACAAGGGAAGCGGAAAGGGAATTAGCATTGTTATTTTAAGTGGATCTAAAAATGAGCTTAAAGTAGTTGTAAGCTCAAGTCTAAGGCAACCACAAAAAGCAGTTTAAGACAAAATATTTTTAAATATCCAGCTAAACACACATGGGCAGGCAGTGTGGTACAGCGGGCTAAGCTGCCATTTGGAAAGCCAGCATCATGCTGCTTTCAGTAAAGGCCCCTGCTAATGTACGTGGGAGGCAGAGAGAGAGAGAGGACAGAAACCTTCCATCTGCTGGCCCATCCCCCGGGTCACTGCGCCCGGGCACAGGGTAGGGCAAACCAGAGCTTCTTCCAGGTCTCCCACGTGGGTGGCAGGGGACCAGATACCTGTGCCCTCCTCCACTGCTTTCCCGGGTGCAGTAACAGGAAGCTGGAGCACAAGTGGAGCAGCCAGGACATGAACTGGCAGCCAACACTGCAGGCCTCCTGAGCCTTACCCACTGTGCCTCAACAGCGGCCCCGTGTAGCGCAGAGTCCACCAATATAACCAAGCAGGTTACAGATCTTTACGGTGAAAATTATGAGAGGCGAATCCGTGGTTGTGGACTAGAAGAAGGAATACTCGCAAAACAACGGACAGAGACAGATGGCCACAGAGGAGCCCATGGACAGCTGCAGTAAGCTTAACTAAAACAAAGCCCGAGGCAGCATCAGGCCGACTGTAAGACCTGCCACAGGACAGCTGGAATCAAAACAGATATGTAGACAAAACTAAATAGAAACCAAAAAATTAATTAGTTTACACATCTACAACCAGCTCTTCAATAAATGAGCTAACAAACAATCGGTGCCCAGAGAAGGGACCGTGTCTTCAACAAACGGTCCAGGAAGCGCTGCGCCAGGGTGCGCAAGTCCACAGAGCCCTCGCCTCCCCCTCACGCACAAGTCAACTCAGAATGCTTGGAGGACTGCAGTGGGCACCCCGAAACCACCAAATTACCAGAGGAAAGCTCTGAAGGACACTGGCAAAGCCTTCCTGGCAAAAAGGCCCAGAAACACAGGCAGCACAGAGTGGCATACAAACGGGATTAAGTCAAACCAGGAAACTCGCACACTGCGAGGAAGCACAGGAGACAGGCGGCCAGCAGGATGGCATCCAGTATTTGCCTACTGTGCAACTGACACAGGATTAACCTCCAGCATCTACAAAGAGGTCAAGAAACACAGCAGCAACAAATCCAGTTAAGAAATGGGCAAACAGATGGTGCGATGACTCAACTGGCTCATCCTCTGTACGTGCCAGCATCCCATATGGGAGCCAGTTCATGTCCCTGCTGCTCCACTTCCCATCCAGCTCCCTGCCTGTGGCCTGGGCAAGCAGTGGAGGACGGGCCAAAGCCTTGGGACCCTGCACCCGCGTGGGAGACCCGGAAGAGGCTCCTGCTTTGGATCGGCTCAGCTCCAGCCCTTGCAGCCACTTGTGGGGTGAACAGATCTTCTTGTCTCTCTGTGAAATCTTCCTTTCCAATATAAATAAATGAGAAATGGACACTGGGCATGAACAGGCATTTTTCAAAGGATGAAATTCAAATGACCAACAGACACATGGAAAAGATTCCACCCAGGAGATGAAGTAACAGGTTTTCTCTCAGTCCAGATAGAAGGATGTTGTCATATCAAAGTCAGAAACACAGCAAGGGCCAGCATGGAAGTTTGGGGGGAACGTGAATCTGTACAACCATTGGGGAGGACAGCACGGAGAGTTCTCAGCTAAAAATATGAGAGTAGAAAATGAAATTCGCAATAGGAGAGCTACCTGTATCCCTGTGTTCATAGCACCTCCGTCCATAAGAGCCGGGATGTGTCATCAATCCAGATGCCCATCAATGGGTAAGTAGATAAAGAAAATATGGCATGCTGGGCCCGGTGCAGTAGCCTAGCAGCTACAGTCCTCGCCTTGAACTTGCTGGGATCCCATATGGGCGCCGGTTCTAATCCCGGCAGCACCACTTCCCATCCAGCTCCCTGCTTGTGGCCTGGAGGGGGTGGGGGGGCAGTGGGGGACAGTCCAAAGCCTTGGGACCCTGCACCTGCATGGGAGAAATGGAAGAGATTACTGGCTCCTGGCTTCGGATCGGCGCAGTACCGGCCGTTGCACTCACTTGGGGAGTGAATCATCGGACGGAAGATCTTCCTCTCTCCCCCTCTCTGTATATCTGCCTTTGCAGTAAAAATAAAATAAATCTTAAACTGTGGCACGCTGGATTACTACTCAGCCATAAAAAAGAATGAAATGCTATCTTTTGCAACAAAATGGATGCAACAGAAAACCATTAGGCTTAGTGAATAAGCCAGTCACCAAAAGACAGTTTTCCCTGGTTTGCAGTAACTTGAATATAAAAAAATGCAGATGAGCACAGCTGACATCTTTATTTTCGCGTATATTCCTGAGGAACAGTGGGGATTTTTGTTTGTTTTCTACTTATTACTTGAATTCTTTGAGGAATGGGTAAGCTTGTTATTATAAAATAAACCGCAAGTATGCCACTGTAAAAAAAAAAAAAACAAGAGGGACCGGCACTGTGGAGTAGTGGACACAGCCTCCGTCTGCAGTGCCGACACCCCACACGGAGCGTGGCCGGAATCCTGCTTGCTCCTTCTCCGATCCGTACCGTGCTCGGACTGCCCTGGGGCGGCTGTCCCGGCCATCTGGGAGGAAGGCAGGCGGGAAGGGCCGACCATCTAACTCTGCCTTTCAAAGACATCCTAACACTAGGGAACTGGGAGGGAGGCTGGGGTAAGAGCTATAGTGCACTTAAACCTATAAATGAAATATATGGAACTTCACCTTATATAAATTTTTTAAATTTAAAATGAGTCTACAAATGCAAGACAAAAACAGAGGAACAGAGGCAACCAACAAAGCGGCCACAAACGTGGCAGGTGCTGAGCTGTGTCAGGACGCCCTGCACATCAACAGCCAGCAACCGACAGTGGGACCAGGCACTGCGGGCTGGGACCCCACCCGGGTGGCCACGTGCCCGGTCCCTAGGGCAGAGGGCAGCCCGGCTGCTGGGCTGCTAGCAGGCCTGGGGAGTGCGCGGGGGGGCCGCGGGGAGGGCTCAGGCTCCTGGGTGTGGAATGACCTAGCAGGTGAGAGGCCACCCTGTCTTAAGATCAGCTGTCAGGCTGCGACATAAGACAGGGCCCAGATTTTTATGGGTTTTAAAAGGCTTCAGGACAGTTACAGAGAGGGCGGGGGACAGATCTTCCATCTCCTGGTTCACTCCCTCACCGGCCACAAAGGCTGCAGAGCGTCCGTCTCGGCGCTGGGGGTGCAGAGGCCTCCGCGAGCCGCCACGTGGTGCCGGGCTGGGGCAGGAGTGAAGTGGCCGCGAGCAGCGGGCGCCCAGCTGGGCTGCAGGCATGACGAGGCTTACTGTGCTGCACGGAGTAAACGGGTGGACGGGGAAAGGCAAGTCAGCCAAGGAAAAGGTGAGAACTGTACGAGCAAGACTTCAGGGGAAAGAGAGGACCAGGGACAAAGAGCGGATTGGTTTGATGATACGGTGACACTGCTGACGACAGTAACACTTCCTCTGTGTGTGAACGCCTCCCGCCAGAGCACCCAGGAGGCCGGGACACCTCACAGTTGGCTCCAACAGCCCACCAGCAGTGACAGGAAAGCGACAAGGACCCGCAGTCACGTGCACTGCTCAGCAGCACGCACACTCTGGGTAAGCTTACAGTGAGCGTAGGTTCACGTCACAGTGAAATATTAAAGACCAGAACAAGCTCTAGGCGTGTAGTTAGCTCACCATCACGATGCCCATGCCCCCTCCTGAACGCCTGGGTGCAGCGCCAGGCTCTGGGGCCCGGCCACCGCAGCCCCTGGAGGCAGCGGGCATGGTCAAGTGCTGGGAGCCCTGTCACTCATGGCAACTTGGACTCATTTCCCAGGTTCCTGGCTTTGGCACAGTCTAGCCCCAGCCACTGTAAGTGGGCATCTGAGGAATCAATCAGTGGACATCTTCCCCTGCTTTCCCAGGCCATCAGCAGGAAACTGGACAGGAAGTGGAGTTGTCAGAACAGGAACCAGCACCCATTTGGGATGCCGGCCATGCGGGCAGAGAATTAATATGCAAGCCACCAGGCAGGTCGCAAGAAAACATTTCTAAATTTAAGAAAGGGGTCCAGAAAACAGAGAAATTTTCAGTCTTACCAAATTTAAAATGAAGATACAACTTAAATTTGTGAGCTGGAGTGTAAGCGATTCTTAAGAGTGAAACTGGTTAGTGCTGAATGAATATATTAGAAAAGATAATCTAAAATCAGTAACTGTTCCTTTGCCTTCACTGCCTTACTTCTGCTTTAGTGAACTAAGGAAACGAGCCAGTGACAGCCCAAGCGTGAGCAGGGAGACGGGGAGCAACGGCCAGGGCAGCTGGCGCTCGGCAGCAGAGAAGGCAGTGAAGTGAGCCTCCGCCAGGCCACGCGGTCAGCTTGTTCCCAAGTGCTCTGAAGAACATCATCTAAGACATTTGCTTTACGAAGTCAGAATAAGCTTCCTCCTTGCGCTCTGAAGCACAGAGCTCCTGAGGGCGACGTGGCATGACGGGCACGCGGCAGAAGGGGAGAGGACCGGCGCACGACTCACCTGTTGCTTCAAAAGTCAACTTTACAGAATCCCAAGGTGTCTGTTCTTTGGATACAAGTCTGAGATGAGCAGGAGTTCTCGGAGAAACTTCTGGGGCGGGAAGGTAGCAGTTTTTCCTATTTGGAAAGTTAGCTTCACTATTTAGGAGGCCTTATCAGTTGGTAACTATAATTCACGGGCACGCTCGGGGTCCCTGGGCATGAGCTCACACTGACGTCGCCGCCTCGAGAACCCGCGTGACTGCGGCACCGACGGCTACAGCGCAGGAACTGGAG